TGTGTCAATGAGGTTTGTCCTCATATGTCCTTATATCCAAAGAAATTCCTCTCTGGGACTTTAAGTTTAGCTAGAAATTGCTTTCAGTTCTTAAGTCATTTTGTGCTAAAAGATCAAATTTTGGCCTGTCACTCAGTTCGGTTCAGCTGAGATAAAATGAAAAACAATTCACACAACACACTGAGGCCACAGAACAGTAACGAACCCAGGCGAGATGCAGCAGAAAACTGTGATTTCCACCCCGTCGATCTCAGGATAAACACAATGTTCAAAATGAGACGCATCAAAAGTGACACATAAAACTCTCTTCTCGTGAGCCTGATGTTTTGTATCATCTAACCACCATGTGTGGCACATTTCCATCTGTAGAAATGAAACAAAGCACAGCTGAAACATGAGTGATTGGCTTCCTCTCATGAAGCCAACTGGGAAATAACAGAAAAATTATTTTATTAGTTATCATTTGCAAAATGCTGCTATCTTAAGTCAACTCTGAAAATAACTTATATGTGTGATTTAATTATATGCCAGGCCTCTGCAATGTGAACTCACATTCAAGGAGGAAAAGCTGTTATGTAACTAAAGTGTGCTTTACTAATGACACTGATGGGATTCCTTAATTTGATTTGAGTGTGTCCAATACCATCACTTCACTACATGTTTAGTAGTGGGCATGTCTCCAGATATTTGCCAAAAGTGATTTTTTTTTTGCCTGAAACATCTATTGGGAAGAAAGAGGTGATGATTTTGCCATTATTTTAGGAAGGTGACAATATGAAATGACACGACACTCTGCTGGCCACAGTGGTTCAGCTAGGTTTCATCAATCATACAATCAGTCCTACAAACTAGGTTGAGTACAGATTTTAAGCTTAAATTTAACAAGGGCCAAAATCTGCTCATTATGGGCCCAGGATGGCATCTCCCTGACTGCAGCTCCAGCTGGATGTCACCGTTGTTTGAGATCAGCTCAGCTTTTTTATTTATTTATTTGTTTCTTTCTTTCATCCAACATTACACCAGAGCAAAGCATTTCTAACCCATTCCTAGTTTGAGAACAAGAGTGTCAGAATGTGATCAGAGACATATCACACACCTTCAGAAAGTGGTCACAGTGGATGTCAATAAACACGTCATCACCAAAGCGCCAACATGGCAAGAGGACTAATTAAAGCCCGAAAACAAGCAGACATCTGTTTCTGGGGGAGGACAGCCTTCCAGTATGTGGTGAAGGCATGTCAGCTGCTTTATTTTCTACAGCAGTCAAAACATAGCAGAGGTTAAGCACACACACGCGCATGCACACACGCACACACACACTTCCATCCATCTGAGAGCTTTGTATTGATTCCATTCATAACCCAGACATTTTTCGCCAACCCTAAACCGTTCCAGTCAGTCCAATTTTGTGTTCATGGTTAAGATACCTGACCCGCCTTGCCTGCTGGTGTTGGTCAGAGAGGCCAACAGGTGGCGCTGATGCGTGGCAGCCTCCCCTCTTTCAGACTGCTCCAGGGCTACAATGTAGCTCACCACTTTAACAGTGTGTAAATGTGTGCATGAATGGGAGAATGTCGTGTAAATTGTAAAGATTTTCTGAACCGTAACAACTCCAGCTGAAATTATATGTTTTTAAAACTCCAAATACCCAGTTTTGGAGGCGATAAGAGCAGAGACAACAAAAGAAATAATAAAAAGAAAGAAATGAGATGGCTGATGAGGAGCAAGCTCACCCCTGTTGGCATCTCTAGAAAGAGGAGTCAATGGGGTCGAGGATAAGCACTTTGCTTCTCAACCCCAAGCCTCCTGAGGCAAAAGTCACACAGTGACTGAGACGAGAAAAATTAAATATTTAAAGAGGTTAAGTAGTGTCTTTCTCAACATTACCAGATCTGCTCTTTAATCTCATTTACAATTGGCTTGGAGATCATCCTATTACCATAAACCTCATTATTATGATAATTATCTGAGCTGTGCTTCTGCAGGGAGCAGGTCGGCCATAATGATGGTGTTTTGCTGGTTAAATGTCCCCTAGTCAGTAGTGTGATGTTGTTGCAAACACCCAAACTCACAGTCCATAATAATGAAACAAGAATAACAGGAAGTGAAGCACAAGGAGAGAGAATCTGCACACAAACTGAAACAATGGTTATTAAATAATTTAAACCTGCAACTTTCACACGCCTGTAGTGACTGCAAAGCATTGATGCTGCTCAGTGACCTTTGACTTTCTGATTTGAGATTTCGACTTCAGGTGGGACTCATGTTGTTTAGCAGATTGCAAACTTTAAAATTGCAAGTAGAATGTACTGAAACCATCAGAACCACTTTTAACAAAAGAGAAAGAAGATTGGGTCGTTGACACCTGGTCATAGTGAAGGAGAATCATTATGTTTAGGTTTTCAGTCATTATTTGCTTTAAAAAAATGGAATGAGAGAGATGGAAACCAAACCTTTTCATACAAATCAAGCTAACATTACAGTTTTGACCTTAGTTATCACATGAGAAAAATGTTTCCCCTGAAGGATGTCAAGAACGAGCTGTGAGATCTCTAAAACTACGGCGTCGTCCTTTTCCCGCAGCCCTGAGATGGATATCACATGTAGTAGTTTTTGCAGCATTTGCAAGAATGACTGGGGTCAGTTTCCAAGAAAACTGATTTACAAAATTGGTTCTCTGCAGCCAATCACTTCCAACATCAGCAGTTCAAACAGCTGTAGATGCATGGAGACCTGGAGTTGTACAAAATCACACAGAATAGTTTCTTTTCTAGTAATTTTCCCATCTGAGTCTTCACTGGAGCTTTTGGTTCAGTTCTTTGATTTTAGATCCAACTTTGGGAAGAGTTCCCAGACAATGATTTGTGCTGCTCTGGGATTAGTAAGGTCATTAAATGTAGACTAACCAAAATCTACTTTTTGGTCATGATGGAAAGTAGTTGCAGACTCAATATAGACTTGGAGTAAGATTAAAGCTCACAAGATTATTTTGTGGTTTTAATTAAAGCCCACAAGAGAAAGGTTTAAAGTTAAATTAATTATGGTTGTTGTCAACCAGAATTAATTTGACTTTAAAATTAGTGATTACCGCTAGCTGGACCAATAAAAGTAACATTTCCAATATGACAAAAAACAAATATTTGGCTTGTTACACCAATGCAAAACTGAAATGCTCCTCTACTCTTTTTCACTTTCAGAAGCAATGCTTACATTTGTCACACAGTCAGTACTGAGTCCAGGTCATCTGCTTCTGCTCATAACTTTATTTCTGTTTTTTTTTTGTTTTTGTTGTTTTTTTGCATGTGGAACCTGCCAACCTTTCAGAATGTAGCTAGAGATTCATGAGGTGTCAGTAAACAAACAGTATGTTAATTCATTTGCAGAATTTTCATCACTATTATAAAGAATCACATAAAGTTAATCTGAGCCAACAACTTGACTTCAGACTCCAGAGATTACAGAGTGGAAAGGCAAACCTCTAAATTACTGAATGTCAAGTACCGTCTTCATTGTATGTTATTAGGATTTCATGTGACATAAAAAAACAAAGTGTGGCATTTGCATTCTTGCTGGTAGGAGAACCTTTACAACTGGGTCTCAGTTCTTCAGGCAAAGCTTGGTGCTGCCACTGCCATGTTTTACTGAGCATATTGTGTGTTCAAGGCATTATTATTGTATATAGATCCATTTGTATCTGGTCTGACTAGATGAGAGTTTTGGCAAAATGTAAATAGGACGTTATATGGCTTTCTGGCTTTCTTCTCATCAATCTTTCATTAAGGCCAGATTTATGGAGTGATTGATGAATATTTGTCCAGTCGGTCATTTTTCCACCAGAGATGTGGGTGTCTGCAGCCAGCAACATTTACTGCCCAGACCAAAAATTACAATGGTGGAATCTGGTATGAACACTACTGCAGATTCAAAGATCACCAATAAAACATGCATGTAAGTACAAATTGTTTGGATATAGCTTTTTTAAAATTCAGTTATGAATTCAATTATGTTGACATAAATTGATTTGCTGAGCACAAAGAGCTTTACTTATTTATGAAATTATTTATTTTCAAGATTAGTCATGTGCTACAATTGCAGCTTTATTTAAACTTTTAAAAACAGTCACATTTAACATGACATACTGCAATGAACTGGTTTATAAGGGAAAGGTCAACAATTTAAAAACATATTCAATCAAAATACTGAATTCCTAAGAATGTTCTATGTTTTATATGAATATAGGTTTTTAAGGAAATCGACTTTGAGTCAAATGTTAAAGATTCAAGGTTTTAAAATATAATGGCGCCATCTAGTGACAAAATACTTCAATTCAATATAAAATCTTTAAATTTTCATTTGTGGGGTAGTGTTCAGTAAGTTTTAACACCCACGTTGCTTAATTATATCATTTATCATAGTTTAGTAAAAACGCAAGCAGCAAAACGCTGATTGTACTGTCTACGTGTTTCTTTGAAGTCTATTACATAGATGTTTGCTTTAATTAACTCTAATGTTATTCCATATAAAACTCTGCTTTTATAGATATTCCTTTTAAATGATTATATCTGACATCATACTTCACAAAATGAATAAATAAATAAAATTCTACATATTTTGGCGTGAGTAGGTGCGTTCAAATGTTATTTTAAAAGTAGGGATTAAAAAGCAAAACGTGGATATTGAAAGCATGTTCAATATGCTATCTGTCATTTTTATTCAGCTCTTTTCTCTGTGCAATGAAAAATATCTGAAAAACGTTTTATTTCACACGTTATTTCTAAAAAGAACTCTTTTTTGACTAAATAAAAGCTTTCCTATTTCAGTTTTCTAATATCAGAGTTTACAAGAAGTCCTGGAATGCAGCACGGCCCCCTGCTGTCCAGCGGGGGTAATGCAGCCACGGCTCCGCGCTGGGACTGGTCGTTTCGCAGCCATTTTCTGTCCAACCAAACAGCCGCCTCAGGAAGGTAACCAACCAGGGCTTCATTGCAGGTTTGTGCCGGGCTCCGGCCAATGATTGCTAACCGATTGCTTGTTAGCTCGAATGGAAATGTCCGTCACTGCCTGATTTTTTCATTTGTTGTCTGAGTGAATGAGTACTGCTCATCAGGAAGTCTGTGCTTGGCGAAACTTAAAAAATAAGCGTTAAACATTCTGGCCTGGTTACGTCTTTCTCTGCTGTGCGTGACAAAGGGCAGGCCGACGCAGACGCGGGTTCCAGTGGATTTGCAATAAGAACTTCCGCGAGGAACATTATGTACCTGAATAATTTACCTTCAGAAGGTAATATCCCATTGGACAGTCGCTTTTTAACTTGCTAAAATAGTTGGCTCTTTTGAGACAGTCTCATCAACAAACCTAGCTCAGGGGTTTTGGCCTGACAGGAGCTAACATTAGCAGGCTAACAGCTGCCAGCTAGCACACAAAACAACACATTACTGCTTTTAAGTCTAACCACAAATACTCGGTCTTTTTCTGGCACATATCTACAATTTTCCACATAAAATACAGCGCTGAGTACTGTAGAGAGCTCACTCTATCGTGTTTTCATTAACTAGAATAAAAAACCGAGTAGGAGCATAGATTGGGAATTTTCCAAGTCAACAGTAAATGTGTCGAGCGCCCTGTTGCTAGAGTGGGTTTTTAAAATTGTAATTCCACGTTGGATACATGCACAACAGGCAAAATCAATCACCGAATGAACTGGCAGGTCGAGGGTTCAAAGCTAGTTATAGCGTTGTTGAGCTTTGACAGATACTGTAGAATAGAAACAGCAACTCAGTTTGTCCGATAGAAAACACAATAAATAGTTCAGAGGAAGATGTGAAAATGTTCCTCCAAAATGAATTATTTTCCTTTTACTTTATCTTGTCACACTAATATATTCCAGATCATTCCGTTAATTTTATAACCAGAATAAATACAATATTTTTGGGTGGGGAACGTTTTCAGAAATGTGTTCAATGTGTTCCTACCTCTTACCTCCTTAATGAGATATTTTTTCTAATAAGTCAGCTTTTTGGATGATCAAGATTATTTTGAGGTCATGCAAAACTGCTCTTTATGTGATATTTTTGTCCATATATTTTTCTCTTGCTGTTGAACGGTTATGTTAATAGTGAGGCCTGCAGCGCTGCATGGTGCTCTGGGTTGTCTGATGGTCTTTTTGGAGAAAAGCCCCAGCGCCGCTCCACAGAACATTCAGAACAGCTCCATGTTTTCTCCTCTGTGGATAATGGCTCTCAGTGTTGCTCAGGCCTGGAGTTGCAGTTCCTCCAGGTGCCACATTGGAACCTCTGCTGACCCTGAGTGAAAGTGTAGTGATGCCAATAAAACATTTATGAGACGCTGATTCCAGCATGGCTGTAAAGGTGTGTGACTTGAGACCGTTAAAGTGTGTTTGTTTTTATGTTTGTTTTTTTTTTTGTTTTTGTTTTTTTCAGATGGACGGAGACAGCTCAACCACAGACGCCTCTCAGCTGGGCATGACTGGAGAATACATGGCGTCCAGTCATTATGTTCTCCACCCCCAGGATGGTAAGGAGGCAAAAAGCTTTCGCTCAGCCCTTGGCTCATGAACAGCTGATAGATTTAGTCTAATTGTGCTTTGCAGATGATGGAGAAGAGAACATGAATGACCATGAAGACAGCGGAACCAAGGAGAACTACAGGGAGCAGGACATCTACCTCCCTATCGCTAATGTGGCTCGCATCATGAAGAACGCTGTTCCACAGACTGGGAAGGTTGGTCAGGGAGGAGAAGAAACAAACCCAATTAATTTGGTTTATTTCTGCTGCGCCAATTCACAACACGTGATAAATCAGCCCAGATTTCCTTCATTGTGGGAGATCCGATACAAGTGAAACCGATCTTATCTCATCTCATCTTTCTCCACAAAGGTCTGAAAATCAGTCACTGTTCCCTTCTGCTCAGCTGTGGGAGGATCGGCCCACCTGGTCACATCTGCACCTGAATGGTTAACAAAAGTCTCCCCACTGATGCTAACTTAGCAACTTTGTCACTATATTTAGCAACTTTTCTAACAAAGAAATCTGAATCTGCAACGATCGTCCAGAAAACTGCAGTCAGTGCTCTCCTACATGTCGCCTCAATGCACTTTACAAAGTCATTTCCATCCATTAATACATATATCCCAACTAATCCTAGTTATCAAACAGTGCATTAAGTTCAGTTTATTATTCTGATTAGCTTGAAGAGTTTTCTGTCTAAGGACACCCAGCAGATTGCATCTAGTCGTTGATTCTCCTGGACCAGCAGGGGGCGACAGACAGTCACTCTCCTTTTGATGTTTACTGTCCAGAAATCCTTGGTGCCCATCTCCATTGGCAGAGCTGCACTGATTGCAGTTCCCCGCCGATCACCGATCTATTAATAGCCTAGTCTGCCGATACAGATTTTAGTTTTGTCTGAAAAGTTGCTTAATGTAGCAACAAAGTTTTTAAGTTGGCAACAGTCGTGAGCGGGTCAGTCAGTCAGCAGAGTAGAAAAGGACAGTGGCTGATTTTCAGACATTTGGGGAGGAAGATAATATAAGATGGACTTCTTGTGTACAAAATGTTAATGCTAAAAATATAAAAGCCTGATTGTCAAATACAATGAGAATGCTTTTGAAGTAAACAAAAGCAGGAATCGATTCAGTCAGAGGTGCAACTTTGAAGAGAAAATGTCCCCAATAAACAATTCAGTCAAAAATCAGAACATTTTTGTCTAGATATTTTCCACCGATTCCAGAAATGTTCTTCAGATCAGTCCAGTTCCTACTGAGCAGGAGACACGGAAGCTCTGAGTCTTTGTTCCTACCCACAGATCGCTAAAGACGCCAAAGAATGTGTGCAGGAGTGTGTGAGCGAGTTCATCAGCTTCATCACGTCGGAAGCCAGCGAGCGCTGCCACCAGGAGAAGAGGAAGACCATCAACGGGGAGGACATCCTGTTCGCCATGTCCACGCTGGGCTTCGACATGTACGTCGACCCCCTCAAGCTCTACCTGCAGAAGTTCAGAGAGGTGAGGCCGCGTTCGCAGCGCCGCCGTGGTAACGCCTCACTGCTGCCATAGTAACACGGATTGCTTTTTTCCCCCCAGGCGATGAAGGGGGAGAAGGGGATGCCGGGGGTGGCAGTGGGAGAAAGTCTGAGTGAGGATCTGACAGACGATGGCTTCGGTAAGAGAAGCACTGCCCTCTGGGTGACCAGCAGCTAGAGCAGGACATTTATCATATCAATTATCTTTTATCGTGAAAAGATAAGACTTTTGATTCATTGTTGTCACAATAAGTTTCAGTTAGAAAAAGAAAACTGACACATTTTTTACCGTTTTCTCCACTATTTGTTCCATCAATAAATTTGAGTAAATTCAAAAATCTGAATAAATGCAGTTACTATGTGCAGCTTATTGACAGAAAGCACTTTTTTTTTAAGTAAGTGGTGTCCTGATGAAGCCTGTTTCAAATGAGAATGTTTTTGTTTGTGGCACTATGCAGCCATACAGTTAGCTAAAAGATAAGTAATGAATTGGGTTTTTAAATCAGTGCTGCAAAATATGACAATAAGTCTAAGTCTGTTTCTCCCACTCCTACCAACAGCTGAGGTTTTCCAGTTCATGCTCCTGTTTTCTCTGACTTTTCTTTTTTCCCCTCAGCCAATCCGCTTCCAGCTGGGATTATCACAGCAGATGGTCAGCAGCAGAACGTGATGGTGTACACCACCACCGCATACCCACAGGTACAGCCCCCAGTTCTCATTTGAAATCATTTGCTATGTGGGGTAAATTGATTCATTTCACACATTTATTGCTGTAGATTCAGAGGTAATGAAAACCCAATATTCAGTTTCTGCCTCAGTTCTTCCTTCCACTCAACATTCCACTAATATTAAATCAAGGGTTTTCATCTATATGACAATGAAGTCCAGTTGATTCACTCATTAAGTTCACAATGGTGAATATATAGTGGTGCATGCACGTACAT